AGTTCTTTTTTCTTTACTATACAGATAACAAAAACAGAGTTTGTACTACTCAAATACAAGAATAAGAAAGAGGTATAGCTTGCTTCTTTCTAAATGCATATTATTTAAATGCATGCAGAAACCAGCAAAGCTAATAACATTTAATTTAAACATCTAGAGAAAGAAAATTATAAGTGGCAAATTAATGTTTAAAAGTTCAGATTTTTTTGGATAATGTCACTAAAATAAGGTGTTTCTAACTAAATCATTAACATAAATAAATAAATAAATAAAAAGTTGAAACAAAGCTCCATATATAATAAATCCCATACAAGATATTACATCCAAAGAGTAAAATACCTTAAATCAGAAATTTAAACAGAAACAATACTATTCCCAACAATTTGTATTTGCTTCTTTTGATCAAATCATTGTTTCAAGTCTTAAATGTCAGACTTACCATTGGTCTATGGTCTCCATGAAGAGATGCATTCTTTCCCTCATTGGGAACTATTTCAGCTGGCATGGCGTCTACTGATCAGAAGATCCCATATTAGAAGCAGATGCATTATTTACAACTTTTCTTACTAGTATCATTGGTTCTACAAAGCAAATATCTTTTTTTTTCGTTGGTAATTTTTTTTTTGTTTGTTCATATTGACCCTCAAATTGATTTCATCTAATTTGAATCGACCCTTTAAAGCTAATGATTCATCTTTAATCTTAATATTCAGATTCAGTTGTTAATGAATTTAACTCTCATCAACTACTTGAAAAATATCTCTCTTCCCAAATGATTCTCCATATACGAAAAAAGAGGAAGAAGAAGTTGATTTCATCTAATTTCAGGCCTTAAACTGCAGTTCCTAGGGAGGCGTCAGGGGTTGAATTTGAGAGTGAATGCCAGAATTTTTCTGTTCAAATTCGGGGCTGGAATTCGATATAGATGGCTGCCATGTTGAAGATTCAATTAGGGGAATAAGAAATCTAAAACAAAAACAGGAAAAAATCTTGCCAATTGATGTAGAGAAGGGAGAAGTCCGTGAGGTGTTGGAGAGGGGGAAGACTCCCTGTCCGTCCACATTTCAATATTT